AAAGTACCTATCAGCTAAGGCTTTTACCACTACCCCCACAGTATAAAGTATCCTGGTTTTCCCTCAATAATCGGAGCTGGATCACTAAGGCTTGGAGCCGAGCTAAGTCACTGAATAAAGGGGCTGTACCACTGACTGAGCTGAGTTCTGTGTGTGATCCTGCTTCTTCGGAGAGAGCTGTCTCTTCGTAAACCAACTCACGGAAATCCAGCTTTCGCCGTCCTGCGCCTCCCCTCCTGACCCGGCAGCTGACGTCCCGAACTTAGAGAGAGAGTGCACGGTGGATTGGGACGGAACCCGACCGGGCCAGCCCCGGTAGCAGAGACCCACAACGACATGGTGCGGGACCCGCCGCACCCCAGGTACATGCAGGAGACCGGCGCCACGCCCAGCAGCTGGCGCTCTGAGATCCCTGTGCCCCCATACCCCATGACTAACCAGAGCTGCATAGGAATAACACAAAAAGTCTACATGCATTCTTCAAACACCTATCAGCTATCTCAGTTTCCCTTGGGTTATGAGCCATACCCATCTACATTTGGTATTACAAAACCCCTTCTTTCACCCCTTCACAATAATGTTGTTTCATAAGCAAATCCATGTCTCTTTCCAATATTTTATTATTTTTATTTTATGTGTATGAGTGTATTACCTCCATGTATTTAAGTGCACCAGTGTCATGCAATGCCCTATAGATAGTTATTAGCCATCATGTGGGTGCTTGGAATCGAACCTGGGTCCTCTGCAAGAGTAGCCAGTGCTCTTAACGCTGAGCCTTCTCTCTAGCCCCTTATTGTAGACTTTACATATTTAAAGCTGTGTTACTGTTAAGGCTCCTATTTTTCTGTGTGGCCGAGGTGAAATTTACTTTACATATTTAAAACTGTGTTACTGTTAAGGCTCCTATTTTTCTGTGTGGCCAAGGTGAAATTTACTTTACATATTTAAAACTGTGTTACTGTTAAGGCTCCTATTTTTCTGTGTGGCGGAAGTGAAATTTACTAGTGTGTTTTCTGGATCTCACTGTATATGTAAGCCCTCTAGTATTAAAATTTTGAACAGCATTATTTTTAGGAACACATTTGTAACATTAGAATGGAGTGATGATATTTTCTTTATTACTGTTCCCTGCCTTTTCCAGAAATGCCCCTTGGACCACTTCCTGCACAGAACACTAGCTATTCTTCAAGATCTTTCTCTGATGTTCCTTTTGCAATTTTCCCTTCATTCTCTCTGTCAGAAAAAGCTCTTCTTTTCCTTACTGCACTTTGTATCTGTGATGTGTAGGCTTCCATCTTCCAGCACATTCATGAGCAAACATGTAGATTTGTACGACAAGAGCTCACCTTGTTTGCATTTGTCATAGCCTCTTCCAAAAACTGGATCTTGCTCTGCAAGGCATCTATCTGACCTCTTTTGGCTGAGATTTGCTTTTGCATCCCCATTGCCACCTTCATAGCTGGGGGTGGGGAAGGGAGAGAAGGTGCAAACTGTACATTGTGAGAGGATAACAATATTTGCTACTTAAATTTATGAGATGACAAAATGAGATTCACTGAGGTCCCTGGTCAGTTTCAGGTAAAGATCATGGAAGAAAGTCTTTAGAGTTTATACTATTGGGTTATATAGTAATTTTCAGCAACTACATGGAGAGATTATGAACTAGGTAAAATATATATGGTGCTGTTTTGTGGTTTCTTTGCTACTGGAATTAATGTCTTTGACTAACCTAAGTTGCCATATTTCCATTGGTAACAATAACACTGACAAAACTCATACACATATAGGAAATATATACTTAAAATATAGCTATATATATTTTATTAAGATGGCTTTCCAGAAACCCATATTTAAAATATCTACTATTAATGACCCTTTCTGAAGATTCCAGGGATGTCCCAAACCATTCCATTTCATTCTCAGGATCATTGTCAATTGCTTGGAACTTACTACAGTCCCAGTACTCAAACTAGCACCAGAAGCCTATGTAATTATCTTTGGAAAACTGTTGCTAGGAAGAGAATATTTTAGATGGATTCAAACCACAGAATCCTTAGGGCATGGTAGGCCACTGTAAAGATATTGGAAGTTTATCTTTACTTAGAAATTTAGAATTAGGAGACCCTATTTTTTATTTAAAAGTCAGTTAAGGAAATAGGTTTGAAAATAATATTGCTTTGATTCAGGTCTGGCTATAGAATAGAGGTTAAAAAGGAGAAAAACAAGGGCTAGGTATGGTGGCACATGCCTTTAATCCCAGCACTCAGGAGGCAGAAGCAGGTGGATCACTGTAAATTAGGGGCTAGCCTGGTCTACATAGAGAGTTCCAGGTCAACCAGGGCTACACAGTGAAACCCTATATCAAAAAAATTAAAATAAAAACACTCTTATTTAAAAAAAGAAACATAGTATTTGTTGAAAATCATCAGAAAAAAAATGACAAGTGAGATTTTTCATTAACAATATGGCTAATCTGCCAAAATCAGGGTTAATAATAGAGGGGCAGTGCACTGACTTTTTAAAAAGCAATATTCTCATTTATTCTTTGAGAGTTTCATACATTTATACAATGTACCTTATCTATATCCATTTGGAATCATTTTAATTCTCCCTAGTGCCTCCCACCTTGTTGTTTTGTTTTGTTTTGTATTGTTTTGACAGGAGCTTGTATCCTTCAAGACTGGCTTTGAACTTGTTATATAGCTAAAGGTGACCTTGAACTTCTGACCCTCCTGCCTCCACCTCTTGAGTGCTGGGATTATAGGGGTCTGCCATCAGGCCTGGTTTATTTGGGGCTGGGAACTGAACCTAGGTCTTCATGCGGGTTGGGTAAGCACTCTACCAAATGAACTACATCCCCAGCACTGATTTATTCATAGATCAAATGTCTGACATCATTTGCTTACCACTTTAAGAATTCTAGTCTAATTAATGGATCTTAATTGGCCTTCAAAGGTAATTTCCCCTCACCAAAAAATGTGTTTTTATCTTAAGTTGGTTTTATTAAATAAAAGCAAGTATTTGAATGCAATTACAAAGATTTCCTAGGTAACTTTATAATTTTTAACCTGACTGGGATGAAGGGTTGGGGGAAAAGACCCCCAAAGGGCTTCTTGGCAAGCTTTCCAAACCCCATTTTCTTCTATTAGCAAAGAGCCCACCTGCCAAGAACCACACAAAATACAGAACACTTTAGAATTTGTGGATCATCCTTGTAGAGGGGCAATAATAATCTCTATGTTATTCCAATTTTAGAGCATGTGCTGCAAGGGCCAAGAGTGGTGGCACATATCTATAATCCCAGCACGTGGGAAATGGAGGCAGGAAGATCTTGAGTTCAAGGTCTTCTCTGCTACATAGCAACTTGGAAGTTAACATGGGCTACATGAGACCCTGCCTTAAAAAAAAAAGTGCTGTTGACAAAGCACAAGTGAATCTTCTAGTATAAAAACAAACAAAAACAAAATAAAACAAAAAATCAAGGGCTAGTGAGATGGCTGAGAGCCAAGAAGTCTGATAATCTGAGCTTGAACCCTGGAATCCACATGGTGGAAGGAGAGAATGGATTCCCACTAGTTGTCCACTGACCTCCACATGTGCACACACACTCACATACACACATACACACCAAAAAATAAATGTTTAAAATATTTTTAAAAAATAAAAAAAAATAGGGATAGGAAGATTGCTTAGCTGGTAAAGTGTTTGCTGTACAAGCATGAAGACGTAAGTTTGATTCCCAGCACCCACATAAAAAAGCCAGGTATGGGAGAAAAGACCAAAAAATGAGATTCTCTGGCCAGCCAATCTAGCCAAATCAGGAGCTCCAGGTTCAGTGAGAGACTGGTTCAAAAACTAGGGTGGAGAATTGTTAAAGAAGACATTTGATGCCAACCTCTGGCCTCCACACACATGCACACATGTGCACATGCACCCCCACACGCATGCATACACACACAAAATCACAAAATAGAAAAATAGTTTAATTTGATGAATACTAGTTTGTTTTTAATATTTTATTTTTATGTGTATGAGTGTGTTGTCTGCATGTATGTAAGTGCACCCATGTCATGCAATGCCTGTGGAGTTCAGAAGAGGGCGTTGGATCCCCTGGAACTGGAGTTACAGACAGTTGTTAGCTGCCATGTGGGTGCTGGGATTCAAACTTGGGCCTTCTGCAAGAGCAGCCAGTGCTGCTAAGTCATCTCTTCAGCCCCATTAAATACTAATTCTTATAGTCAGTTAATACAGCTGAACCAACAACGAGAGAACAACATGAAAGAACCACCTCATCTCATATTACTCACTAATAGAATTAATCTAATACTTGCATGGATCAGTATGGGCAGCAAGGTAACAAGGGAACAGGTGTGAAGGATGAGAAGAGACCCCTCATCTAGTAGTTCCATTAACTAATTCTGTCTCATTTTTATCACAGACAAGGTATCAAGAGATGCCAATTAGCCCCCATTGACCGTTTACATAGACAATGTACATGTGGAAAACATGAGGTTAAATAAAAATGATTAGTTTTGTATTTATATCCTTAAAAATAACTGATTGACACAGGCAATGAGATTTGTTAAAAATCTTTGAAATAGCCACAGAAGGAAAAATATTCTGAAACTTCAGGGATTTCAGGTATGTTAGTGGCTAAATTAAGCATATGGCAATTTTCCTGAAAACACTGAGTAGAAGCACTGCTTCTAAGGCCCATCACTAATCCCTATGCTGTGTACTTCTCACGTTACCCTAAACTGTGAAAACACAGTAGGCAGGGCTGGAAAGATGACTCAGTGGTTAAGAACACTGGTTATTCTTGCAGAAGACCCTGGTTCGAACTCCAGCACCCACATGGCAGATAACAACTGTCTGTAACTCCAGTTCCAGGGGATCCAACAGCCTCTTCTGTCCTTTGCAGGCATTGTATGACATGGGTGCACTTATCTACATGCCAGCAATACACACATACACATAAAATTAAAAAAAAAAAATAATAATAAAGAAAACATAGTGGGCAATAGATCTAGGTTTGTGTTTTAATAAAGCTAGGCCAAGTAAAAACAGAAGAAAATACTGAACAGCACATACCATGGCCATCAGATCCTTCCATGGTCTTTAGTGTATTCCTGGTTTGCTCCAGTTCAGACTGTGCAGATTTTAATTGCATTTTCAGTTTATTTGTAGTAGTTTCCATTTCTTCACTTTTGTTTTGAAAATTCCTTTTTAAGACTTCATAGTCCTCTATATAACACAATAATCAATGATTACTTTTTTCTCCACTATTGATATGGAGTATATTTATTTGCAATTAATAATCACAGAATTTTAGAGGCTGAAAGAAAACTCATCACAAATGTGACAGACATGAGATGTATATATACACTTCCAGGGATCTGGTGGACTTTCTCTTTTTTTCTTTTTAATTATGTATATGTGTATATCTGTGTGTGGGTATATACACCTTAGTAGGTGTCCATGTAGGCTAGAGGCATCGGACCCCCTGGAGCTGATGTTACAAGCACTTGTGAGCTGCCCAACATGGGTGCTGGGAACCAAACTCAGGTCCTCTGGAAGAGCAGAACATGCTCTTATTCACGAAGCTCCCTCCAGCCCCTGTTGGACTTTCTTTTTCATCTGCCTGAGTGGGTCCTCTCCAAAGATTTTCATTCAATGTTTTTGCCCAACTTTTGTAATCAGCTCATGTCTATTTCATCTTAAATCTTCTTCATGTATGACCACATCCCACAATAGATTTACCACCATAGCTCTAGGTAGATGAAGCTTCTTGACACTGTAAGTGACCTAAGGCTGTCATGTGCTATTTTGGTTTTTTTTTAATTAACTTCTAAGTGGCCTACCTTTCCCCCAACCCTAAGGTACCACAAATTGAACTCAGGGTTTACCGTAGTCCTGTTGTATCTTTATTATCTCCAATAGCTATCAAAATGCCTGGCACACAGGCAGCATTCCTGTATGTCTAAGGGAGGAACTCATAAGACTTCTCCTTTAGCTGAGGAGATACTGGCAGCTGGTGGTTGCTGCAGGAGAGAGAGTCAGTTTTCTTCAGGGGTGTAGCCTGTTGTAGGTTGCCCATGCTCCAGTGGATGGCCCTATACCTGTGCACATATAGGCTGCAATCATTAGACCCAGTGGGTTATAAAAACACAATAAGAGGACACGAAGGAGCTGGGGGGAAGGTGCTGTGAGGAGTAGGAGAGGGATAATGAAGGATGGATATGAGCAAAATGCATTTTATAATAAATATGAAGTTCTCAAAGAATACATTTTTAAATGCCTGGCTTAAAAACTCATTCCTCTACATATTATACACACACACACACACACACACACACACACACACACACATAATTGATTTTGGGAGGGTAAGACAGGGTCTCATGTAACCAGACTGGTCTCAAATGCCCTATGTAGCCAGAGGTGACCTTCAACTCCTGATCCTCTTTGTCTCTACCTCCCAAGTGCTAGGATTATTACAAGTATGCATCATCATATCTGGCTATGATACAGATTTATATACAAAGGCAATGAAAGTCCAGCTCCATATATCCAGACATTTCCATGTGGCTGTCCCAAGTACTCCCATACTGACTACATCTGTCTCACCCTTTGCCCTCAAGCCTGTCTCTTCCCTAGCTCCCCGCCTCCAGTGGTTGCCATTATTGTTTCCCAATGCCACAAACTAAAAAACTGGAAGTTATACTTAATTTCCCTAGTCACTGAATTCTATTGATCCAACCTCCCCAAATATTCTTAATTCTTTGTTCTTCTTCCAATCACACTGTCACTGCCTTTGTTCAGGTCCTCATCATATTTTCCAGGTCCCCTGCAAAATCCTTGTTAACTAGTTTCCTGTCTTTTCAGCCCTGCCTTTCACTAACCCATCTGCTACCATGGCCTTATAAACCTCCTATTAGCATCCCCTGCTGGTTCCACATTGTCTGGACTTACCTAATGATCTGCCTCAAGTAGTCCTATTCCTTCCTACTTTTGCTCCATAGAATACTTCTAAGGTCACATTGTTACTCATGTCTTCATGCTTTTGCCCTTAATGTGCTGTTTGGAATGTTTTTCTATGACTGTCACCTGCCAAATTTCTTTTCTTCTCCAAGCCCAGCACAGATTGTCACTTCCTATACGAAGCTCATCCTCAATCCTGTGCCATGTTGGCTTTGAGCACTGTTCCACTGTCACTCACTCATCTACTGTTCTTTAACCTAGATATGTGTGTCCCCACTACACTGTGAGCTCACCATGTATGGCATAGTAAATGTGTAGCAGTTTCTGAGTTCATGCTTGTGTGCGAAGTACTTGATATGGTACCACACCAAGCATGAGCTTGAGTGTTCTTTTAACGTAAGGTCTTGGATTTCACCTTTCATTAATTTTGCACTAAATCTATTTACACATGTCAGTTTTATTAAACCTTTACTCAAATTATTTGACTCAAAAGACAGAAGATTTCCACTTCCATAAAAACAAAACTGTACAACAACACAACTTCTGCTGAACACCTCTAGAAGCCTCGGCCTTGGGTCCCTCACCCTTCTTTTGGAAAATGAGGGTTGGCTAAAGTCAGTGGTAAGTAAAGATGAGACGCAGAAGCTCTTTGTAGAGAACTATAAGGGGTTCAGTCATGGGCCACTCCACTGGGGCAGCATGGCCATTGTCCTGTGAAATAAAAGACTCTTCTTCTGTAATTGTGAAAGGGTCCATGTGGACTTCACAGCACTCCTACATTGAGGTAGAATATGAACTGAGGTAACATACCTGAAAGATTATTTAATTCATTCCTATTACTCTTCACCTCATTTAACAACTGATCTCTCTCTTGTTTGATATCCTTCATTGCACGGAGCCACTCAGAGCCTGCATTCACCAGCTTCACCTTTTCCAGTTCTAGGTCACTCACTCTGGCTTCAAGTTCCCGAATCTTTGCATCTTTTTTATCTTTCAGAATCTAAATTTATTACAAATACAAAGTATAGAGGAAAGAATAAAAATCTGCAAAATCTGTGCATGTATAGTAAAAACTGGTATCATTAATATTTTATCTGCGTTTGAGTTTTTCAGTACTCCCCAGAACACTTAGTTTCTTTTCCAGTTGTGATAATACACCTGTTAGAAGCAACCAAAGGTGAGGAGGTTGATTTGGGCTCCAAGTTTCAGAGGATACAGTCCATCATGGCAGGGATGCATGGGAGCTCCGGCATCTCAGTCTGTGGCAGCAATCTGCAGTATGGCTTGTCCACACATCTTGGCAGATCACAGAGCAGAGTTCAGACCAGAACCCAAAGCAGACATTACCCTCAAGACCCTTCTCCAACAACCCACGTCTGCTAGCTAGGTCACAGTCCCAAAGGTTCTGAAACTATCCAAAATATCAAGACCAGCTGGGGACCCCATGTTCAAACATATGAGCCTGTAAGGACATTGTACATTACAAGTATAACAACATTAAATTTGTATTTTAATATAAAATACCAATTAAGTGGTAAGGGGGGAATATCTCACTGTTCTTCTAGAACTCAGATGTTAATTCCCAGTATCACTTGCCACAACATTTCATTATTCCTATTCTTATTCATTCACCCAAATGTGTACTGAGACCTTTTTTGTGGTAGGCACTATTTCATATATTGGGAATACATGGAGGGACAGAACTAGGGGAAGATAAGTGAGGCCTGGATATGAGGGCCTCAAAGTGAAGAACCTCCATTGCTTTACTCAAGTCCTGAGCCTGGACAGCAACCAAACAATAGCTCTGTCCTCAAGTCTTCTGTGGTGAGAAGAGACAGAGAGCAAACAAGTATATAATGTCAAGTACAAGAAATGGTAATAAAAAAGGAGTGTGGATAGAGAATGAATGTGAGGGAGGGGCTGTTACTTGAGATAAGTTGGTGTGCAGAGAAGAGTTAATGCAGCAGACCTGTTCCTTAGAGGGCCTGCTTATAAGGCTGGTCCTTAACTGGCATTTAGGAAACTGGATTTCAAGAGGGCTCTCACCACCTTAACTGGAGTGGCCCACTGAGACTGAACTGTTTGTGTAAATCACACGGTTATGCTGAACACCTGCTTTCCTTGGAGAATGGAAAGTGGATCCTGCCAGACAAGGGGTATGTCCTGGTTTTTTTTCTTCATTGCTGTGACAAAATACTCTGACCAATACCAACTTGGGGAGGAAAGGGTTTATTCAGCTTACATCTCCCAGGTCACAGTTCATCAGGGAGCCCAAGGTAGGAACTCAGGGCAGGAACCTGGAAGCAGGAGCTGGAGCACAGGCCATGGAGGAACACTGCTTACTGGCTAGCTCCCCTGGCCCCTGCTCAGCCTGCTTTCTTATGCAACACAGGCCCACCTGCCCAGGGGTGGCACCACCCACAGTGCGCTGGGCCCTCCCACATCACTCATCAAGAAGACGCCCCTCAGACATGCCACAGGCCAGTCCAATAGAGGCAATTCTCCAATTGAGGCTCCCTAAACCCAGGTGTGTCAAGTTGACACTAAAGCTATCCAGCACGGGGTGCATACATGATCAGCCTCCAAATAAAGCTCTGGGTACTGAGTTAGTAATTTATTAGTTGCTTTTCTGCTGCTGTGATGAAAACACCATGACCAAAGCAGCTTATAAAAGGAAGAGTTAATTTGGTTTACGGTTCCAGAAAGGCAAAAGTCCATTATGATGGAGAGGCACTGGGCAGAGCAGGAAGCTGAGCCCTCATATCTTCAAGTATATGCAGGAAGCAGACAGAAGGCAAACTGAAAGTGGGGCAAGGCTATGCACTGCAGTCAAAGCCAGCCCTCAGTGACACGCTTCCTCAGCAAAGTCATATCCCAAAGTGTGCACCTAGCTTTAGTTGTCAACTTGACACACCTGGGTAAAGGGAATCTCAATGAGGAATTTCCTTCATTGGCTTTGCCTTTGGCCATGTCTGTGGGGCATTTTCTTGATTACTGAGTGGTGTAGGAGTGCCTAGCCCACTGTGGGTAGTAACCCCCTGGGAAGGCGGTCTTGTGTTGTATAAGAAAGCAGGCTGAGCACAAAGGAGCAAGCCGTTAAGCAGCGTTCCTCCATGGTCTGTGTTCAGGTTTTTGCCTTGGGCTCCCTCAGTAATGAACTGTGACCTGGGAGATGTAAAATAAAATAAACCCTTTCCTCTCCAGGTTGGCTTTGGTCAGTGTTTTTTTTTATCACAGCATTAGAAAGCAACAAAGTTCCAAGATTCTCCCCCAAAAGTGCCATCAACTGGTCAAATGTTCAAACACTTGAGCCTATGGGGGACAGTTTTCATCCAAACCACCACAGAAGTGAACTTCTGTGTAGGCAGCATTTGAATTCTCACTATTTCTTGCTGGGAGAATTAAGTAAGTCTTAGGCCAGGAAATGACTCCTGGAAGCCCATAGCTAGTTTTCTCTGGGCTTTATTCTGTTGCCTTTTCCCTTTGCCAAGGTTTGTTGTTTGAATGCTTGTGTTACAGTTGGTGGTGCTATTTTCAGGGTCTGTAAAGCCTTTAAGAGGTGGGGCTTACTTGATGGAAATAAGTCACCGGGGCAGGCCTTTGAAGGTTATACCCAGCCCACTCTGCTTGCTGGTTTTCCATGGTGTGAACATCCTCTATCATAGACTTCTCCCACCACTGTATATAGAATCCTCCGAAACCATGAGCCCAAATAAATCCTTCCTCCCTTAAGTTGCTTTTTCAGGTATTTTGTCATAGCAGTATAAAAGTAATAATGTATTGAGGTTTTTTTTGCTATGATAATCATAGCCATGAGTATGAGTCTGCTGAGTCTTACAAGTCCTTTTAGAACATCACCAAACTTATGGTTAGTATTGGGGATCTTGCCACAGCAGATAAGGAAAGGCTTCACTAATAAGGTAACTTCTGAGCACAAATCTCAAGATGAGAGAGGAAGCCACATGGATAGCTGGGAGAGATCTCTAGGTATAGGCTGTTTAGGGTACAACAAGGTCATCAGTATGCCTACAGTGGAGTAAACTTCAGAGAAAGTAGGAGATGAGGTCAGAGTATTGTCTGGCAAGATCATGTTGGCTTTCAGAGACAATGTAAGGGTTCAAGACTTCATTCTGAGTAAGATAAGAAGTCATTAGAGAGCTTGAGAGTGGCACAAAACAGTAATTTTTAAAAATATATTTTTATTTTATGTGTATGAGTGTATTGCCTGCATGTGTATAAGTACACCCCTGTTGTGCAGTGTCTGTGGAGGTCAGAAGAGGGCATCAGATCCCATGGAACTGGAATTAGGACAGTTGTTAGCCACCATTGGGTACTGGGAAGCAAACCCATGTCCTCTGCAAGAGCAGTCAGTACTCTTAACTGCTTAGTCAACTCTCAGCCCAAAATACAGTGTTTTAAAATGTAACTCTGGCTCCTATGTGAAGAATCAATAGTGATTAGGCTGAAGACAGGGTTGATGCACTGAGACCAGGGAGAAGAGGTTAGGAAGGGCACATGAGAGGTGGCAGCTTAGACTAGGGTAGCTCAAGGTAGTTAGATCTGGTCCTTTCAGCAGAGTAGGGAATACGAATACAGATGCTCTAATTTGGCATTTCTAACTGTCAGAATCCCCAGCTTACTCTGGGTCTGCATTTTTTTTTTTTTTACAGGGCTTTTCCTTTCCACTTCTGTTTCTTCTTTCTATATGGCAGTTGTCATGCTGCTATTCTGTCAGACATGTAAATTTGAAGCCTCAAAATGTCCCAAGCTTGGACTACCATCACTTTTCATGTGGAGTACAGGGACAGCCTCATTATGGATCTCCATCTCTGTTGGTAGCACTTCCTAGGAAGAATGCCTCCCTTCCCATGGCCCAAGCCTGTACTAACACAGTAGTCACATGTAACAACTAAGCATCTATGAAATGGACCTAATTGAGCTGTTCTCTTTGTGTAAAATTACACCATATTTCAAAGACTTTTTTTTTTTTTTTTGGTCTTTTTGAGACAGGGTCTCCCTGTAGCCCCAGCTGTCCTGGAACTCGCTATGTAGACCAGGCTGGCCTTGAACTCACAGAGATCCGCCTGCCTCTGCCTCCTGAGTGCTGGGATTAAAGTCGTGCGCCACCATGCCTGGCAAGACTTTGTTTTTTAAATTTCATTTATTTTGTGAGTGTTTTGCCTGCATTCATATATGTGCACCCATGCCATGCCATGCCTGCAGAGGCCAGAAGAGGGCATTGGATCCCCTGGAATTGGAGGAATTCCAATTGGAATTGGATGGTTGTTAGCTGCCACATGGTTGCTGGGAACTGAACCTGGGTCCTCTGTAAGGGCAGCCAGTTCTCTTAACTGCTGAGCCATCTCTCCAGCCCTTCAAAGACTTTGTTCTTGAAAATGTAAAATATATTGAGGGTTCGTTATGCTGATTACAATATAAAACCCAACATTATCTTAGATATGTTAAGTAAAAATGCTATTAAAATTTCAATGTTCTTATGCCTATAAGAAAGTTTAAATGTACACATGTGGCATGTGTTATATATCTAGTGAACAAAACTGGCCCAGATACTTCCAAGTAAATTCTAGCCTCCCTATTGGCCTTAAAAATAATAGAGTACCCGTACTGAGATCTGGCTGTGCCCTACTCTAAGCTACTCCATGCTGTATAAAACAGTGCCTTGCCCTAGGAGATGACATTTTACAAGCAGCTTTTGACTCCATTTTGAGGGAGAAGGATGACTGCAGCCCCTGGATGGACCCAGAAACTGCACCATTTGCCAGGCACCACCCATCCAGCACAGACTGATGCATGACTTATTCCCAGAATAGAAAGGGAACCATCCTACAAGTTTATTGGGTTGACTTAAGACTTTGGGGGAACAGGGGTGTATTAAAATTATATCATGGAAATCAGGCCCAAGAACTTAACAGATGTAAAGAAGGAAGAAGAACACAGCTTCTAGGGCTTCCATCCTCTTCCCTTTCCCCACTGGATTGTGGAGGGAAGTAGCTCGAGTGTTTGATTTGTGGTCTTGGTAACTGTGTGAAACTCTTCTCACCTAGGAACTCTTTTCCTGCCTGCTCCAGCTCTGTATTTAGGAACAGAATCTCTTCAGTTGCCCTCTGACACTTTCTTTTTCATGTCATTCCCACTCCTCTACCCCAGATCTTTAACAGCTCCCATATCTTCTCTGAGCTAAACTACACACTGAGCTTCATTCTCTTGATTGGAATGCCTTCCTTCTTCCTCTCTAATTTTTGCCCAAGTCTCCCAGCCTTCTCTGCAGCTTACACTGGCCACTCTGGTCATGGTGATTCATACTCTACTGAGGCACTCCAACAGATCTTGACATGTGCACTCTGCACCAGCACAATCTGCATCTTCTGGAGCTTGTTCAGAAGTACCATGACTCAGGTCTCATTCTAGACCCACTGAATCAGACACTTGGAGTGGGGCCCAGCAGAGTGAGCCTGTGGACAGGAATATCTACTTATAGAGAGCATGGGATCAAGTCCCAAAGCAATGCTCTTGAAAAAGTTATTTAATCTGTGTTTCAGCTTTCTCATCTGTAAAGTGGGATAACAGTGTCTCCCTCATAAGATTGTTATGAGAATTAAATTGATTCCATTTTTAGGATTAAGATTCAAGAGGGCTGGGGACACAGTTCAGTGATAGAGTGTTACCTAGAATGTGCATAACCCTGGGTTCTATCACAGTACTGAGAGGAGAGAAAATAAAAGACTCAGTTGGAGGCTCCTTAACTAGTAACCAACCTTCCTAGGTAAAAAGGCAGAACTGTCATTCTCTCCAACTACATTCTGCCTGCAAAGCTATTCCAAAGTTTTCGCTGTGAGGCTTGCTACCAAGCTTTTCTCTGCCCCTTGTGTGGTATATAATCAGGGGCTAGGGAGATGGCTAGTCAGTAAAGTGCCTGTGGTGCAAGCATGAGAACCTGTGTCCAGATCTCCAGATCTGCAGCACCCACATAAAAACTAGGCACCATGACACACATTTGTAACCCCAGAGCTGGGGAGGTGGGAATAAGAGGGTCCCTAGAGTTCACAGGACAGCCTAGCAGAATAGATGAACTTTGAGTTCAGTGAGACCTTGTCTCAAAAAATAAGATGAAGAGCAGTCAAGGAAGACATCTGATGTCAACCTCTGGCCTCCACATGCACATGTCTACACAAACATGTACATATGCCCCCCACGCACCCAAGAAAAAAAGAAACTATATAATCAAGCAAAAACTTAACAGAAAATTCCAAATTATTAATGTAATAAATTATTTTTATAAGACATAAAATAATGTATTGCTGGTCTTCTTTTTAGAATGAGGAAACTGGCTGAGTGTGGTACCACACATCTTTGATCCCACCACTTGGGAGGCTGAGGGAGGCAGATCTCAATGAGTTCAAGACCAGCCTGGTTTACACAGTGCGTTCTAGTCCAGCTGGGGCTACAGGGAGACCCTGTCTCAAAAAGACCAGAAAAAAAAATTGAATGAGGAAACTGAGGCATCTAAAGTTTGCATGTATTGTCTCATTACTAACCAAAGTCGGAGATGTGGGTTAACATAAAACAGGAAATCGAGAATTTGAAAAACTAATTGGGTGAGATGGCTCAGCAGGTAAAGGTACTTACCACCAAGGCCGAAGGTCTAAGTTCTTCTCTACTATTCACATGGTGGAAGGAAAGAACTGACTATTGTAAATTGTCCTCTGACCTCCACAAATGCTCTGTGAAATGTGTGCCACTCCCTCAAACAAATATAATTTTTAAAATTTTTAAAGGGTTTAAAAAACTATGCCAATATAGGCATGGCTGTGCATGCCTTTAACTTCAGCACTCATGAGGCAGAGGCAGGCTGATCTCTGTAAATTTGAAGCCTGTCTACATAGCATATTCCAGGACAGTCATGACTACATAATGAAATTTTGTCTCCAAGAAAAAAAAGCCAAATACTGTGGTTCATCCTTGTAATTCCAGGCAGGATGATCACTGCACGTTTGAGGCCAGCTTGAGTCATCATAATGAGTTCCAGAATGAGACCTGGCTTCCAAAAGAAAAAACAAAATCATAAAGACATGGGGCAAGAAATAAAAACAAGATGTGTGTGTGCCCTGCTTTATGAAGTCGGTTGTACAGTAAGGAGAGGCATTGCTATTTATTTACTGATTGATTTATTGATTTATTGTTCTTTTTTTTTTAGACAAGGTCTCCCTGTAGCTCCAGCTAGCCTGGAACTCACTATGTAGACCAGGCTGGCCTTGAACTCACAAAGATCCACCTGCTTCTGCCTCCTGAGTGCTGAGATTAAAGGTGCGCATCGCCATGTCCAGCATTTATTTATCTATTTTTATTTTTTATTTTTTGGTCTTTTTGAAACAGGGTCTCCTTGTAGCCCCAGTTGGCCTGGAACTCAGTATGTAGACCAGGCTGGCCTTGAACTCACGGAGATCCACTTGCTTCTGCTTCTGAGTGGTGAGATTAAAGGTGTGTGCCACCACGCCTGGCAAGGCATTGCTATTTAAACAAGCACAGGGCAATACAGAAGTGATCCAGGTACAGATAAAGTCCTGTAAGATAATGGCATGGGGGAAAGAAACCAATATTTACATTGGCCAGGAACCAGGCTGTCTTGGATATATATATTTTCTTATGTACGCCTCACAATAACCCAGTGAGGTAGTTGTGTTTTCTGATTGCTTGGTCTTGGTTTTGTTTGGTTTCACAGATACAGAAGCCAAGATTCAGCAATCACCCTGCTGTTATTTAGCTATGAGGTGGGAGGTGATGGGGGCAGGGGTCAAACTTGAGTCTATCTGAAGAAGGGTAAAATACCTCAAACTGTGGGCTCAGGAAACACTTCACAGAAGTTGGAGTCCTTGCTATTATTCTTCTGTGCTTATGACTCTGAACTATTTTGGAGCTATACATTTCTTTCAGACTATGAAATAGGGATCCTTTCTCAAAATATGCATATGCACATGAACAGATATGTTTCATTTCAGAGGGTCCACAGACATCAAGAACCCCTTCTCAGTAAACTAGGCTGTCCTCGCTTTGAGAAAAAAGAAAATGCAGAAGCTAAACCAACCAACACCTGTACAAACCTTAAATTCCTGCAATTCCAGTTTGCGATCATGAATCTCCTTCTCCAGTTGCGCCTTTTCTGCTTGCAGAGCACCGGCCGTTCGTCCATGCTGGCCAACCAGCTGCGTCATGTTTTCAATCTGCTGGCGCAAAATCTCAATCACTTTGTCTTTTTCTGCCACCTGGAGCTTGAGCGCCTCACATTCCATTTGCACATTTCTGAGGTGATCCCCTTCATTCTTCAGGTGCTGCAGCTCCTGCAACTTCAAGTCTACCCGGGAGCGGAGTTTGGTGATCTCTGCATTGGTGGCCTCAATAGCTCCCTCCTTTTCCTGGAGGGAAGCTGTCAGGTCAGACACCGTCCTCTCTGAGCTCTCAAGCATCATCTTCTTGGCCGTTAACTCTTCCAACACCTTGTGCAGCATCTCCTTGGTGGATTCAAGCTGTGCAGTCAGGGAAGACACTTTCTCCAGGCTCTCGTTCTTTCCCTGAATTGCTGCCATCTATAGTAAAGGAAGAGTTTCATAGTTTGGGAAGGAAACATAGAGGCATTTTGTAAGAGATATGGCAAGTTACTCAAAAGCATGAAATCCTGAACTGGAGAGTTCAGATAGACTAACTGAAATTGTTTTGGTGCCAGAATATCAGAACATATGTGTATGTGAGATCAAGTGGAGAAGACTTAAGTAATTGTACTTCTTCATAATGGTTTCCAGGCTAGGAAGCTTGGGAATGCCTTAGACTAGGCCAACACTGGTGACGGGGGAAGACAGTGGGGTTGATGGCAAATATATTTATTTTCTATTTCCTTCCAACTTCTCCCTTAATTCTACCTCAGAGGAAAAGGAATAATGAATTTTATCCAACAGACCCCTCTGGCCCTTATTCTGAAAAGGGTAAGATTCAATTTTCCAATTGTTCCTTTCATCTGTCTTTCTACCCAAGTTAGACCAGAGAACAGGGAAATGATTTTGCCTTGGTCTAAACCAATCCTGGTCTCTTTGGTTTGTTTTCACAGTGTGGGAAATTTCCATTTGTGGGCGTACTTTTTATACTGGCAGCAGTCAACATTTTGCTACTGGTGCACTAGTGTGCACTCATCAGTCTCAATATGTATGGGGGGGTTCTCTTTTGGGGAGAAAAACAGTCTGTTGTAAACCTTCAATCCTACTGCTCCTCAGATTTCATGACAGTTTAAGCTTTTCTGCAGCAGACATAAGCAATTAGGTTACCTACCAATTTCTAGGTGAAAAATCAGGTGACACTAGGTGGTATCAGAGTTGAGTTTTTCAACAATATTAAAGGAGATAAAACATAACATGTTTAGTTTAATGAGAAGCCAAAAATACAGAAATACCACATTTTTATAAATTGCTCACAGAATCCATAACTTTATTTTAAAGCTACCTATATATGTATTATATATACATGTGTGTACACACACATATACATATATACATACATATACATGTATATACAAAACAAAAGCTCTGCCAGTAGACAGAAAATCCATTGTCCCCCTAGAAGAGGCCACTTGGCAGTAGCACAACATGCATGTGTTCTGACCTGCCGTTCCATCTGGCCTTGACACTCGCTCTTCATGGCCTTGAGGAGGGCCTCTAGCCGCTGCACCTCCATATTCCTGTCATCTAGCTCCCGCCGCAGGTGGTCGATGGTGATGCTGTTGCCTGTATCTCGGTCCCATAGACGCTTATTCTGCTCCTTCTCCAGGCTCAGTTCTTTCTCCCTTTTGTGTAGATCTGCCTAAAGGAAGTGAGGAATGCTTGTTCACCCACCTATAATCACATAATTAAAATAAAACTCATATTTCCCTTATATGGTCATGGAGTTATAGGACTTGAGAAGCCTTTCATTTTTGGAATCTGACTGCTTTTCAACAGCTTTATTGAGTATTATTTCCTAGAAAAGTAAGTTAATATTTTGCTTTAACTTTTTTAGTTAGGCTAGGAGTACTGTCTCACACCTGTAATCCCAGCACTTGGGAGGTAAAGCCAGGAAGAGGATCAAAAGTCTAAGGCCATCCCTGGCTACATAGCAGTTTGAAGTCAGCCTGGGCCACATGAAACCCTATATCTCAGTGTAAAACAAACAAACACTCAAAGCCTCCCAGGGCTGAGGAAAAAAACATAGGCAGATCCCTGGGGCTCATTGGCCAACTAACCTAGCCTAATGAGAAACTCTAGGCCAATGAGAGACAAAAAAAAAAAAAAAATTGTGTGTACAACATGCAGTAGGCTCTGTGTTCAATCTCTAACAACAACAACAACAACAACCAATTTTCAGTATCACAAATCAGACTAGGCCTCAAATTATACGCAAAGAAAAAATACAAATTTTTAAAATCATTTTGTTGGATGTCTTCAATTTCCTAAGAGATTTTATTTCACTTCAAATATGCTCCTGCAACTAAAAAATAAAAGTGTTCAAAGGCTTAAAGGAGTAATAACAGTAATTCAGTATACTGCTTCATAAATGGCAGGATATAGGCATAAAGAGAAGATGTGGACAGGGGTAACTAGAGGTAGCTTTTTGTTAAAGGGACAGAAATAATAGTAGAGAGCATCTCAGGAAGGGATCAAGTGCTTGAGATAGACATGTACAACAGCTCAGAGATGCAAAGGTGAGGAGGAGGAACAGAAAGGCAGCACAATGTAGTTTGCTTGGAACACTGGATACATGCAGAGAAAGAACTAGAAAAGTAGGCAAAGGCCAGATCATGAAGACTCAATATTAACAGGGAAGGAGCAGGATTTTATAGGAAAGTTTTGAGTAGAAGAATAACCCACCCAGAGCTACATTCTGGAGGGATGAATACAGCAGTACTTTACAGGAAAGACGGAAGAGAAACTGAGTTAGGAATACTTGTAAGGAGCCAATGGCCATTCTTCAGGAGAGGAACAATGCAGGTGGTAGTGGTAAAAATGAGCAGGGGGCACAGGTTTTAGGAGCTTGCATTTAATCCAAGTATTTTGAATTAGATCTGAGAACGCTGGAAAACATTCAACAGGCTCACAAAAGGAAGGAAAGAAGTTTCCAAGTTGTATAGAGCTTTTAGTCCCCAGTTTTACATCAGTTCTACCTTTACCGCAGTCCATGGCCCCTATCAGCCTAGGAAGGATGATAATGGCTTTACTAGCAAGTTGTCCTAGCATGGGATTTTGGAAGGGATGTTTCCTCAGTTGTACTGCTGACATCAAAGGACCACTACATCTCTCCTTTCCCCGACTTCTCAGACTGTTGTACCTCTGAGAGGCCAAAGACACTACACTGCTATCACAGGCCTACCCTCTGCTTCTTTTTCTAAAACTTTCCCCTAAACTAGTCACAGTTTCTATGTACATACTTTACTTGCGTTTTGAATGTTAAGTGCTTCAAAATGAACATAACACAACTTGAATTTAGTAGGTATAAGCTCTAATTGAAAGACTATGGCTACGTGAAGACCTCCTTTACCTAACACAGTAACAGCTGTGCCTAAGGGAAAAATACACAGAATATTATATTTCATACACACATGAAGTATATAGAATATTCTATGTGTATGCACAAATATTTCCCAAAATATGTAATTTTATAATGAAAACTAGGCTTGTGAAATATTTTACTAAAAAATTTCCCAGAATCAATCTCATTCATATTTTAGAGCATAATCTCACCAACAGCTTTTGAAGTTGATCATCCAAACTTCCAGATTCCTGACTGAACTGATCCCGTTCTGTGCATGCCTCCGTGAGCTCTGAATTGGCAAGGACTAACTGCTTCTCCAGCTCTTCTATCTGGAAGAAAAGCCCAAATCAAACACAAGTCTCTGTCAGTGGGCCATAGAAAATGAAGCCATAAGAAAACAAATGATGCTACATTAGATGAAAAAATGCAAGTTTATTTTATGTTTTGCAGTTTCTTAGCTTTAACATCTATATAGAATTTAGCCAGGGAAAATAACCAAAATGAAATATGTGTTAATATTATATTTGGGCACTCTATAATCTATCCTGCTTTTGAGATTTTAAGATTGATCTTCTATGGAGATAGGCTCTTTAATTTGGTATTTAAGGACACCTCTTATGGCATAAATAATATGCAGTAGACCCCACACAAATGAACTTCATTATACTTAGAAGAGCTATTTTCTTTGAGACTGTATCAGAGTTTCAATAATAAGACACTGAATACAAAAGAATGAATAATAACTATAGCTAGCGTTAGTGTCATTATGTTGCTATGTTTCAAAAGAATGAGTGACTATATATTTGGGAGAATACTGTTGGACAATTTAACAATTCCAAACCTCATTTTCTTCAACTATAAACAAGAATGTGCACCAGTTTTAAAAACATATTTTCTTTCACAATCAAGACAGCTGTTTGATCTGTCTGAATAAAAATTTATTCTACTGAACCACTGATTTCTTATAGAGCAATACCAAACACTCCTTTCCTAAACTCAGCCTACTGCACCTCTATAGGAGGATAGAGGCTGCATCACTGTTGAAAGTGTTCCTACAGCCCCTAGGTACAACACAGGCTGAGTTACGATCCCAGACTATGGAGACCCTGGTTTTGGAATTGAGCTTAGCCACACAACATCAAGACTCAGGTAATGAAGTATTAGTAAGATGCTAACACTTAGTGTTATGTAATGAAACCTGACCCTTACCTGGGACTATTTTATCATCCACTTTCTAGAATTAAAAGCATAGACCTGGGGAAATGGGCAGAAGGCCCCATCCTTAGCCAAAGAACTATTAGCAGGTGATTACTGCTGGGTGAGGGAGAGTTGATCTTCTTTAAGGGACTGACTCTAGATAGGCTGACTAGACCCCAGTGAATGAAGTTGCACTGAGGGACATCTGGGTACACTATCTTGACTCAATAGGCCTTAACATGAATGACAGAATGCATGAAATCCAGCTGGGGGGTTATGGGAGGCTATGGATGGGGGAGCAGGTACAAAGATGATTAAGATGTTTTGAATGAAATACACAAAAATTCAATAAGGCTGGGTGTGTGGTGCATACCTTTAGTCCCAGCACTCAGGAGGCAGAAGCAGGTGGATCTCTGTGAGAATGAGGTCAGCCTGGTCTATATAGTGAGCTCCAGGTCAGCTAGGGCTTTGAGACAGGAGAGACCCTATCTCAAAAAGACCAAAAAAGAAAATTTGATAAAAACTATACAAAAAAATTATAGAATCCAAAAAATCTTTCACATTGGCATAAATGATATATATTTCTTTCTATATCTAAGGCATCACTTCAATAGGTTTGAAAATCTATGTCAAAAGTAAAACTTTAGCTTAGATATGGTGTGATCAAACCTGTCTAACTACTGAATATAAGACCAAGACAAACTTTTTCTTGATGATTTTTATTTTTACTTAGAACAGATTCACTTAAAAACCTCATTAAACCATCATATATTCAATAATAATATTAATACATATGTACACATATATGTTATCTCCTTGATAAATAAGCATAAATATGTAGAGGTTATATAACTATTTAAATGTACATATACACATATGTGAACTAAGAAAGTACTATTATAGAAGTATCATAGTTTTACATTTACCTGTAATGTAGTATTAGAGCCTACAAAAATTAGGACATAGGTTTTAACATTTACATTGGATATATGTTTAAATTGGCTGTTATATGATATATTTAAAAGTATTTCTTAAGAATTAAGAACACAAAGGGAGGGTGGAGGGAAGGGTATACAAGGAACCTAGGGGATAAAGGTAAAGAAGGAGCTCAAAGTTTCACATTTACCTGTAATGTAGTATTAGAGCCTACAAAAATTAGGACATAGGTTTTAACATTTACATTGGATATATGTTTAAATTGGCTGTTATATGATATATTTAAAAGTATTTCTTAAGAATTAAGAACACAAAGGGAGGGTGGAGGGAAGGGTATACAAGGAACCTAGGGGATAAAGGTAAAGAAGGAGCTCAAGAGAGGTAGGGCCATAGGAGAAGGGTATTATTAAAGGAGAAAGGGGGGAAATGGGGGCACCTTAAGTGGGAAAACCACGATGGAGGGATGAGACAATGTGAGAGATAAACAATGCCTAGCTAGTTTTGAAACCCAGAAGAACCATATTACTCCTACAATCTACTGACAAATTATACATAACAGATCAAGAAATATATGTCTAGGTAAGGTTTATCTGAGAACAAGTGGTCTTTGCCCAAGGTTTATCTACATGACACACAGTAATTAAAAGAACCAGACTGGTGGAACTAACCTTCTTCGATGTTTAACAGACATACTTTGAGGGCTATTTTAATTTGGTCAGAGGGACATGAAGGACACTTTTTGCTCCTTGCCCTCCTAGGTTGACTAGCTCCAAGGGACTATGAGCATCTCTCAAAATGTCCTGTAATGGTGGTGGGTCACCTGTCCTCTTGATCAAGGAGGCCAAGGAGACCCCACCAGATGGACTTGAACGAGTGTCCAGTCTACAAAGAGGAGGGTCAACACAGAGGAATCATTCCCTCCATGCTTCCAAGTGAAGCCAACCATGGTCGAGCAGGACCTTGACTTATCTTCACATAGACAGAACTGGTAAAAGAAAGGAACCAGGGGCTCCTCCCAGGCCCATGTGACCCCTGAGGAACAGATCCTCAAATGCCCTTAAGAGTAAAAATAAATTGCTTTATGTGGGCCAACTGTCTGGCCTTAAACACCCAAAAGGAAAGTATAATCAAAGATTAAAGGGGCTAATATAATTTATTAAGAGTCCATATGCATAGCTAAAGGCTACATAACAAGCAACAATGCCAGACAGGCGATATCTTCTTTTGAGTTGTTGGCCAGGGTGGCCAAGGGACTCCCAGATAGTAACCCAGCACGGAGCTGGGAAGGTGAACAGCAGACCCCAGTCTTATCTAAAGGGGTATTGATGGCTGATTGCTGCTGGATGAGGAATGGCTGGCCCTCTTAGGACAGAGACTGTAGATGGGCTGACTGGATTTACCAGAGGGGCAGGTAGTGGGGAATGCCTGGGGGTGCCAACAACACAGCAGACAGTAGCAGGGATATCAGAGTATAAGGGCTCTAGTGGGGGGAGGGAGGCTATGGGAGGGTGCCATCTGGGAAGTGGGTGTATAGTTGAATGAGATGGTTTGGGATGTTCTGTGTGATATACATGCATACACAAATAAATCAACAAATCTTTAAAAAATGTATTATATTTGAGGAGGAAGCATGGAAATTTACATCACATAAACAATACTATTGAAAGCTACCCAATGACTTTATAGACATACGCAGGCACTAAGGATCCAAGTGCAACTAATTATGACTAGTAATAATCAGATACATACAGATTAGAGATGCAAGCACCAACATCTCAGTGTTAGTAGCAAAAACTATGAGTCTTTCTGCAAGGAACAATATATTCTAAAATGAAATGGAGATCTTTTTTTAAAGATTTGTTGCTCATTCAATTTTATGTCTTAGCCAGGCGTGGTGGCGCACACCTGTAGTCCCAGCACTTGGGAGGCAGAGGCAGGTAGATCTCTGTGAGCTCAAGGCCAGCCT